TTTCAACATCAGATGAGGCTATGGTTCAATATCGGACTTTTGTATTTTTAGGATTTGGATCAATTCTGGAGTTGATTTGATGCTGTATTTATTGAGAATGTTTGTTGTAAAAAGTTGGTTAATGATTTTAGTTAGTTGATAAACAGGAATGGAGATTTGGTATATAATAGGACAGAGAGGAAAGTTTGGTTTGTGTGTTTTTATGGTTCCATAAATGTAACCTGGTTTATAATCACCAATTATTTTGGGAATAATATACCAATAATGCAGAACAAGATAATTTAAAACTTCCCAAAATAATTGGTGATTATAAACTAGGTTACATTTATGGAACCATAAAAAAAACATAAACCAAACTTTCCCCTCTATTCTATTATATATCAAATTATCCCTCCTGTTTATAACCAACACACCACACCATACTTCTCCAGTAAATACAGCATCAAATCAACTCTAGAATTAATCCAAATACTAAAACTACAAAATCCTGATAATGAAACCATAGTCTCACTTGATATTGAAAATTAATACACTAATGTCCCAGTTAGAGAAATGACTGATATAATTATAAGAAATATATACAATAATCCATTTCTTCCTCCATTAAAATTTAGACCCAATATATTATGGAATGTACTTTTAACTTGTACTACTGAAGTTCCATTCTTTGACCACAAAATAAATAATCTATATGTACAACATGACAGTGTTTCCATGGGGTTTAGTTGTCAGTCCAACTTTTATATGGTTAACCTTGAAAATAATAATAATATATATATATATATATATATATATATATATATATATATATATATATATATATATATGGTGAACTCTCCTGTTGTATTCAATGTATGAGAGTCAGCAACTCAGTTCCTAGGAACTGACAGTCAGACACCAGCACATATGATTTGATTATAGTGGTGAAGGCTTTGTGCAGAAGTAGCCACATTTTTTGGAGGGCTGAATACAGAGACCTGGTGCACTACATACAAGTTCCCCAAACAACCTTCCACAGGTTTTGAATTCAGAGTTATCTTTCTCCTAGACCATTTGCCATCAAAGGCTATAGAACCCAGTCAGTCCTGCTAATTACCCATAGCTGGAGGGACAAGAAGAAGATTCATACCTTTCCCAAGGGTATTAGCACATAAGTGAATGCAATGGATTTGACTAGAATTTGAACTCGGCTCTCTGAGCCGTTACCCACTACTCTAACATGTCTATGTAGGAGACATGGTAGAGTAGTGGGTATATATATATATATACATACATACATATATATTATATATATATAAAAACACCAACACTTTCTGGTTGTCAGATCTGATAAGGTAATTTATTGCCTATCTTTTCCTCAAAAATACTGACATTTTCCTTACAGTTTTGTCTTTCAGCCTAACTTTTGTCTCATAATCTCCACTTTTATTTGTGATACTATTATACATCTTACACACACGCATTATATGATGGACTATCACATCGTCTGACATACAAGGGCCCAGAACTGAACAGTTAGACTATGAGCACATGATTAGTTCAAACTGTCATATTACATGAAAAATTATCACTATGCAATATTTTTTGTCCCGGATAATGAAATATAAGCATTTTATTAATGAATAACGTAAAAAGAATTCCAGAGAGTGCATGTAAAATTTCAGTGAAGAATTTATACCTGAAAACAAACTTAGAACAAATAATGATCATCATATTCATAAATTCAAAGATAGATATTAAAATAAAACAAGGTTTTTCCTTTGAGTATAAAATGCTGGCCAATATCTACAATTAATAAATCAACGAATAAACTCATAAAAAATATTTTGATATAAAATAAAGATGACAATTTTAAAGAGCAAAAGCAAATATTTTAAACTGCAATTCAATTATATAGTAATTGGGGGAGTCCTTTGCTGCATGATTTATTGTCAATAAATAAAATGCAAAGCTGCATTTTTAAGCCATTCATTGGTCTCATTTTGTTCAATGATAAGTGTGTGTATGTGTGTGTGCATAAGACTAACAATTTATGTGAACCAACTCAATTCAAATACTGTCACTCAGTATTTCAATTGTGGATTACGAGGATGTGCTTATGTTGCAAATTATACATGCAGTGCGCACAACAGGTGTAAAGAACTTACTTTCATTTCTGTCTCATTTCCAAATATCATTTCAGAATCCTTGTAAATAAAATAAAACAAAATCTTTCTTTTTATAATTTCATCTTTTACTGCGCATGTTGTGCCTGGAGAGTGATTTTTAATGCATGACTTCAAACAAGCCTAAACAAGTTCAGATGACAAAGAATAAAGAACTTAATCAGATTGCAAGCAGGGGCAACAATGACCACAGATCATCGTAAGATAGCAAATGTAATGAAAGATAAAAAAAAAAAATGGCAATAAAAAAAATAATAATCACTAAAAATTAAATTTAGTTTACTTTTGGTTTGTGTGTAAAAAAATAATCCTGTGAACTGCGAAATAAAAACATTTCCTATCAATCATAGGAAATGTTTTGTTTTTTTTTCATTTCAGAAAAATTTCAAATCTTCCATCAAAATAATAAATAGTTTATTTTCATTAAGCTATATAGATTATTAATTTAATAATTAGACGTTAAAGAAAGAGTAGAAATTATAATTATTGTAAATGCATTGAAAGGTAATTAAAACAAATATAACCGTATCTAAAATAAAATTTATTTATTCCCTAGAGTTAATTTTCATCTCTCAATTCACACGTGATATTTTAAAAATTCTGAATCAGTTAAGGACAAGGTGAAGAAGAAAAATAGTCACTTTTTTTTTTTTTTTGAGAGAAACTATGACCCAAAATGAAAACATTGTACACAGTTTATTTAAACATTTTTAGCAGAGTTTTAAAAAATTAAGAAATTAATTTTCAAAATTTACGCTCATGTTTCAGGTTATTTTTTTTAAATAAGAAAAACGACTGAATCAATGTGACAGTTAACGAATTCTTAATCATTGCAATAACAATTGAACTGAGACAACAATGCAATATTTTACATTTACAATGAGTATTTATTTCTGGAATATTTAAATAGCAAGATAGTTCATTCATTACATTTTATTTCAATTACATCTTTGAGCAATGTAATAAATAAGTGCATCTCTAAATTATTTTTATTTAGTGTAACTTACGATGTGTCGCGAATTTCTAAACCTTTTAGTTTTAAAAATACAAGCCACTAGAGAGGTCCATTAAACAAGTAACAGGAAAAAAAACCTTTTCATAGGATATTTGTAGGTGAATTTAAAAACAAAATTAAAATATGTATTGTAACATTGACTAGTTTTTCTAAATGCCTTGAAGAGGGAAAATTAAAGTTAAAGAGGATACTTTTTAAGACCCAAATCACCAAATTGATCGTAGTTTTTTTTTTTTTTTTTTTTTTTTTTAAATTACTGGTGTTAACAGTCAAATATTTGTAATACAGACAATAAATCTAATTCAATTAGTAAAAAGAACAAAAAAAAAACTCATCAATTCAATAATGATTGAAGTAAAAAAAAAAAAAAAAGTAAATTATATTGTCTTTTAAATGGCTGGTCATAGGTACATTATCATTAGTACAATCATTTCTTATTGACTATCGTGTCAGATTTTAAAACTTTTTGTTTTCTCTTTTTAACTGCGACTAAACACTAGGGAAAGAAAATTGCACGCCAAAATGAGTAATAAGAATTAAATTAACTGAATTATATTATCATAGCTAAGAAAAGTATATTGTCAATTTTAGTTTTTTTTTTTTCCTGATCTCAGTAATTATCTACGACTTTTTTTTAAAACCAATAATGTACCAAGGCGATACCTTTTCTTTTTGGGGGGTTTGCCTTCTTAAATGTATCGCAATTAAGAGGTGTATTTTTTTAAATATTCGAGTAGGAAACCGTGGAGGTTTCTTTTTTTAACCTAAAAAAAACAAAAAACAAAAGTGCTTTTAATAAGAATTTAATTATGTACATTGTACAAGAAAAAAAAAAGCACAAGCTAAATTAATCTTTACACGAGAAATAAAAAGAAAATTAAGAAATTTATGATTTTCCTAAATAAATATATCATCGGAGACGAAAAGTCTCAGTTGTGATTTCAATTCTTTCCAAAACGGAACAAAACTTACTTAAGATAATGCCAAGAAATGGTGTCTGACAGTATTTTTTAAAACAACTTTCAAGATCCTGTTTTTGTTTCCTTCATTATTTTATAGTAAGATAATATTAATTGTTATTCAAGAGGTAAGCAAGGGATTTAACTATTTTAAGAACATCAATGAGTGCAACCTAATTAAATTACGACATTTTACTTCACTAGTTAAAATATTTTGTTTTGAAACAAGTGGTTTTTATGTTGAAGGTAAACAAGATGGAAATTATTTCACTTTTTAGCAAAGTTAATGATAATAAACTTTTCAATAAAGCAATAACGAATTTGAAATTAATTAATTAAAAAAATTAAAAAAGTTTTTTTAAAAGATTTAAAAAAAAAAACCATACGACACGTCTTCGATCGCAATCAAAATTGTAAATTATTGCTAAATAATGTATCAGTGATCTTCATGCTAGAACTAAAAAAACACAAACTAATAACTTTAAAAGAAATTAATATGTAATAAAATATTCAACAACATGCAATGAAATATACACATTGTTAGACATTTTGCTGCTCCAAAAGCACGCCCGTCTTCAAAATGTCTTTCTTTTTCATGGAAATTGAAAATATAAGCAAATTATACATGCATACATCGGGAGCGGTTTTAGGTTATAAAATAGCCTTTCACATAAAATAAAGAAATTTCTTCTAAACTCAAAAAAAATAATAATTCAATGCAAATAGTAAAAGTTCAGTACAACGTGAAACGAAAAAATACACACCACCTTCGTTGTTTCCTCGGGCGCATTCAGGCCTCGATAACAATTATTTTATAATGGCTAAATATCATTTTTTAAAAAAAACAAAAAAGAAAAGTACCTCTTTCTTTCGGGGCATTCCAATGCCAGAAACCGAATTATCTGGCAAAGGTAATAGAAAAATTAAAAGCAGGCTAAGACCCGGCATCAACGAATATAATCTTCTGCCGTCCATGTTTACTTGAGTCTGTTATGCCGACGTGGATGAAACGATGAGAGTTATTGGAAGGTGAACCATCAACCAATCAGAAGCGGTCTTTTAGACGGCTGTTGGTTTGTAATTTCGTCTGCTTTTTAGATGCATTTTTTTGTTTTGTTTTTTAACGTTGAAAAGACTTTTACACACGAATCTGAAAAGTAAATAAATAAATAAAATAATAAAGATAAATAAAATTTTCTGCATAGCCTCGTAATTTTTAACTCTATTAAACTATTAACAGGATGCTAATATTATATCCATGATATAACAACACCTTAATACACAAAACAGAATAGAATAGCTGAAAGAAAGAAAAAGAATGACAAAACTGCTTGGTTCTCAAATAGAGTTTTATATTGCACAGTCATACATAAAATTATATACTCATATTTACACAGAGAAACTATAACACATGTCTACCACACAAGCAGTGTGAAAATGGTAAGAGACAGAGAGTCTTACCTATAAGAATATGAGCTGCTGGAGAAAGTTTCTTCCATGTTTTTGGACAAGCCATATTTATATAACCTACGAGACAGAGAAAAACACTGAAAAAGGCATATGTATGAAGGAATCGGTGCATATGATAGGCTATGAGGATCTCCTCAGTAGGCCTAGCTTAGAAATAAATACCATATAGTAGCTATTAATAAATAATAAAAGTGAAATGACAGCAAGGCCTGAACAGCAGCAGTAGCAAAAAAGAGAAGCCACTGTGAATGCAGTCAAGTGTGACAGCAGCAGGCAGGATAGAAGAGCATTAGGTTTAAGTATCACTAAGATGCAAGAGGTTACTGACTGTGAAAGAATATGAGGGAAAGGAAACATTGTTAAGGAGAGAGAACAATAAAAGAACAAGAATTAAGAAGACAGAAGATAACAATTGATATTGCAATTAAATGTTTTGAAAATCAAAGTTGACTGGAAAGCAATAAACTGGAAGAGAGTTCCACTAACAAGTGCAAGAGAAGAAACTTATAAGTTATGGTTACATCTAACCATTTCAACTGTAAAATGACAAGACCTTGCCATCAATCTATCGGTATGTTTAAATTCATAATGTCTTGGTACCAAAGAGAAAAGCTCACGAGAACAATTACCATGAAAATATTTATAGAAAAGTCACAGGAAAGCTAATTTATGGCAGCATGAAAGTAACTGAAGCTGAGATACCCAGATTAATAACATAACAGATTCTTCTTTGTATTTTATCAAGAATCTCTAAATACATAGCAGAAGCATCAGATCAAATGTGGCAGTAATATTCAATGCATAGACAAATAGTTGACTTATAAATGTTTAAGATAGATTCCGGTGAGAAAAATTGTCTAACACAACACATAACCAACTTTACTAGCAGCAAAGCTAACATTTGATTCAATATAATCTTTCTACTTTATATCAGCAGAAAATGTTAGACCCAGAAGGTGCAAGGAGACAGTTTCCTGGAAGTTATATATATATATATATATATATATATATATATATATATATATATATATAGAGAGAGAGAGAGAGAGAGAGAGAGAGGTATAGGTGTAGAAAAATTAAATAACTTAATATAAGCAACCGTATACGTGAGTGCTGGCTTGTATACACAGGTAAGCAAATAAATAATTACCAAATTTTAGCAAATGGTGTGAACATAATAGTGCTCAATGTGGTTAGACAAATACAGTAAAGGTTAGTAAATACACATATACTTAATGTTTGGTGTGCAACATGTCGGCTATATCTTGTACCCAACTAGTTAGTAACCAACGAAACTTAAGTTGCACAAATGTATGTATGGTATATTTATATTTATATATATATATATATATATATATATATATATATATATATATATATATATATGTGTGTGTGTGTGTGTGAAAAGTATGTGTAAATAAATATATATATAATTATTTATATATTATATATATGTACAAAAAGTGCTCAATATCAGATCCAACCAAATATATATATATATATATATATATATATATATATATATATATATTTATAAATTAATTGATTTAAAATATGGTTTTTTTTAAGCTACACAGTTCCAACCATGTTTCAAAAATAGAAGAAAAACCTCGAATTTAATTTTGCAATTAAATTAAAAGCATTAGTTCCATAAGGAGAATATTTCAAATCGTAGTTAAATAAAAAGTATTAGGAAAAAAAAAAAAAAAAAAAAAAAATCTTTTAAATTTAAAAATGATGTTGAAATTTTTTTACCGTTAACAATTTAAAAAAAAAAAAATTCAGACGACATCCATTCAACTGATGTCAGGTTTCATTGTAAAATACATCCCTACCCCTTACCAAATTGTAGCTAATAACTGATACAATGATACTGACATAAGGAAAATCTAGACATCCTTTTGTTCAATTTAAGTAGAATATTCTGTAACCATGGAAACGTGATTTTAACTGTGTCTTTAAAACCCGGTAATTTTAAAAGTTACTCCAAAATTCGCTTGAAGATGAAATGGAACTAATGCTTTTAATTTAATTGCAAAATTAAATTCGGGTTTTAGCTTCTATTTTGAAACATGGTTGGAACTGTGTAGCGAAAAAACCATATTTTAAATCAATTAATTTATAATATTAATGCTCTGTAAATTTACATTGAGCACTATTTTGTAAAATAAAAATATCTATAAGAACACCGGATTTTTATATCTTACTGTTCTTTCTTTTTTATTTATATACATATATATATATATATATATATATATATATATAACACTGCCAGAGAACTGCAAAATTTCAGAGATAAAATGATACAGAGATAATTGCTAGGAACTTGAAAATTTTTTATAAGGAATATTGTTTAATACTAGTAACCATGCTTTCCTGTTTTCATCTTTTAATTTATTTTTTCTAACTGAAATTAAACAGCATTTTTTATATGTCATTTCTGTCTTTCCTTGCAAGCAAAACAAAACAGCCTATTATTTATGAGGTATTGACAGTGTGTTTCTGTCCATATTTCTTTCATTTTCTCACTGAAACTAAATAGCATCTCTGGAATGCCTTTACCATCTTTCCACATGATCAAAACTGAATAGTCCATTATTTGTGAGGTATTGGCAGGGCATAATGGTTGTGCTAACTAAACATCTAAGGGAAGAACAAACAGAATTATAATAAGATCTTAATATTCTTGAAAATTAAGTACATTAGTATTTTTTTAATTTGTCAAGTAAATATAAATTTGTACATAGATAAACAATTTTTATAGAATATAAAAACAATATTTTCTTACTCTAATACTAAAATTTATGAACTGCTGTGTGTTATATTCCAAAACAATATAAAGATGCACCATGGAATTTCCACAGGACTAGTGAGTCAATATTTAATAATATTAACAATAATCTTTTGTTTAAAATATCACTGCAGTGTTGGGTGTATCAGACAAATCATCATATGGCAGTTCTGCATCAATTCATAACAGTAGTGCTAGTGCATCTTCCTCTTAGATACTTTCTTACACACTGGCTTTCTGCCCAAATATCATATAGAATCTCTGTCTGAAGGTCAATGTTCTACCCTAAATCAATATATAGAAGATATGACCAAATGCTGCATAATAGTTTTTTACATAAATTTTAAAGACTTCCATTTTTTTTTTAAATTTTAAAACCTTGCCAAAACTGAATGAATAAACTAAAATGTATTATTACACAAACTTTTCATTTGTAGGTATACAAAAGGTGTTTCTCTTTTGGTCAAGATAAGTCATGTGACAGCCACTTAGTGATGTCACTTCATACAGTGATGAAAATGGTAGTCATTTCTTTAGTTTACAGTAATCAAACTGAGTGGTTGCTTTGTTACCTATGCCAAGGGGCCCTGCACTGAGGCTAAACCTTCCTCCCCCAGCAGCTTACAAGACCATGGTGCTGCTTCCCTTTGGGAATATATCTTCGCCAGATATAGAAAGAAACTCCAGCCTGCACATCCTCAATTTGGGAAATCCCAAAATTTGCTGTTTCCAGTTCATGGAATATGTCCTCGTTTGGGATGTACTAGATGAATACAGTCCATTTGAATCGAGATTCCTAAACCTGGCTTCTCCAGAAACACAGAGGATTCTTCATATTATATGTAAAACTCTATTTTTTCATTCTCCTTACTCTCTGCTTGCTGTGTAGATATATGAGATATATTTTTCTTTGTGTAGGACACATGTAAATAGTGTATGTATAGTTTTGCATATATCTTAGCAGTATAAAAGTCTCTCTGAGAACAAAGCATGTCTGTCATTTCTTTTTCTTTCAACTATTCCATTCAATCTGTGAAATACAGTGTTATTATATCATGGATATAATAATAATATCTGTAATGGGAGAAATATAAATGAGAGAATAAATGTTTCTTCCAAGCTTTCCATTTTGCACTATTATGTGCATCATATAATCTTTCTTGGAAATTGTTCAACTGTTCAGCTTTCTAAATTCTTTTACTAGTTCATTTTGAAGAGTAAAATAGTCTAACAGTCAACATTTGTTGGAAGAATTTTTGCATATTAAGAAAAAAAACCCTAAAGTGCACTTGATTCTCATAACTAATAGGAGTATTAATTTTAACCGATGGGGAAATAAATCTAACTCATTCTGTTCATATCTGTCTATCCCAATCTGTTGATATATCTTTCTCAGTCTATTATATCTGCCTATTTGAGTCTGTTCATTGTCTTTCTATCATAGTTTTCAGATCTATCTGTCTGTCTGTCTGTCTACACACTAGGCCAAAAGTTGGGCCCACCCTCTGGGTGTAATAATTAATAACTTTCATACCTTCTTTGGTTTAATTAACTCCTATTAAACTGAGACATTGAAACTATTTAATCCATTAGTGCATGATGTCTAATCTTTTAGATGGTGGGGGGTACCTAAAATTTTAAAACTGCCATCCTTCTGATAACCATGAGTCAGCAAGAAGGTAGTTTAGGTAAAATGAGCTCAAATTTTAAGGGAAAATTTTTTTATGTGCAATGCGTTAATTTTGTTTTCATTATTATTATTATTGAATATATGATAAAATCCTTCAAGAAGGGGAAAGTCCCTCTGGTCTGAAGTGAGCTAATAAATTAGTTTTGAAAAAAGGTACACAAACTTCAATTTTAGGTGTTTCTTCAAAATCCAGTCAGTG